GCCATGGCGGGCTCAAGCGATATGACTCGCTTCAGCTTGCTAGAGTTTCTCGCGCTCCCACTTGTTGGGATGTGGGTTCCTCCCGTCTTCGAGCCATCCTAGGCCTTCCTCTTCGGAAGCCTGGACTTCATCGCCGACCGGCTCGGCGTGCTTCACCTCCGCGAGGAGGCACTTGTCCCGGCGCCCATCGGAGGAGGCGCCCATCGGAGGAGGAGCGCCCTCCGTCGGCTCCGGGCCACCCGATGACCTCTCCGACGAGGCGCCTACGCTTCGCTCCGAGCCTACACTAGGCTCAAACCCCACTGTGAGTAACGTACATACTGTTCTTTACTCGCTTTTTCATATTTTCCATCGATTCTCTAGATGGACACCGTTCTCCCTACCGCGACTGCCATACGACCGGTTCCCCTATGGCCTCACATCCCTTGTGGACGCATACGCCCGGGGGCTCCGAAGGATGCTGGTGCCACCCCATCTCACATCCAAATTCATGGGGATGGCGAGCTATGCTCCCACCTCTTTCCATGACCTCATGGATGACGATGTTGAGAGCGACGGCTCCAACATCGGCGATGTCGTGGCACACAGCCACCCTTTGTCCTAGGAGTGCGCTATGGTGGACGCTCCAGGACAGCCGCCGGTGGTGGTGGAGTCTCTATAGACCCACACCCTCCGACCCTTGCGCGGAGGCCCTCGCATGTGCAGGAGAGCACGGCGAGGAGCTACGACAGAGGCGGCAAAACCAGCCACCACCTGTGCCCACGCTCTCGGCGCAGCACGCTATGCCCTGTGCGCGGGACCAGGTGAGCGGCACCCGGGGTCGCGCCCGCTAGGTCCAGCGCAACATCATGGATGGGGGAATGATCCCCCACAGTTCACTCGGGCAGGCCAGAACATCGCCGTTGCGGTGATGCTTCTATGCGGCCTTCTAGAGCCTGCCGACCCCCAGGAGCATGTGGTCCACCGGAACCTCCGGGCACTGGTGAAAACCGCCGCCGTTCAACAGGCGAGAGAGCTCCGCGTCGCGGCACCGACTCACGGCCTCTCTCCCCACCAGGGGAGAAGGGACGCACCGGACGCATCGCTCCATCCGCTCACCTCTACAGCCGCCAGGCACGAAATAGGAGGCCACAGCTGCGCCACAACCTGACCCGGTGCCCGCTCCACACCGGCCGCCTGTGCGTGAATGCCTCGGGCCGAACCGAGATGCTCGCAGCATCATCAACAACCGGCGTCAAGCCCGGCATGACGATGACGTCCATTGGGCGGTGGTAAGAGCAGGCAGCTCGGGCTTCGCCCGGACCATCGAGGGCACCAGTGAGACGCACCCTAGGCGTGGTCGCCGACCCGATGACTAGAGTCCCAGCCCGGATGGCCCGGGACCACGGGCCTTTGGCTAACACATCCAGAGAGCACCGTTCCCATAGCGCTTCCGACCGCCTACCAACATCGCCAAGTATACCAGAGAGACGAACCCCGGTATATGGCTCGAAGACTTCCGGCTCGCCTGCCGAGACGAAGGAGTGGATGATGACCATTTCATCATTCAGTACCTCCCCATCTGCGTGGGGGAACATGTTCGAGCATGGCTCGAATTCCTCTTGCACGACAGCATCCGCGACTGGACGGACCTCAAGAGGATCTTCGTAGGGAATTTCTAGGGGACGTATGTCCGCCCTAGGAACTCCTGGGATCTCAAGAGCTGCCACCTGGAGCCCAACCAGTCCCTGCGGGATTATATCCATAGGTTTTCAAAGCAGTGCAACTTCCTTCCTAATGTCGTCGACGCAGACGTCATCAGCGCGTTCCTCTCTGGGACAACCTGTGAGCCTTTGATTCACAAACTTGGCTGTCTGAAGCCCCATACCACCCGCGACCTGCTCGACGTCGCCACGAACCACGCCTCCGGTGAGGAGGCGGTCGGAGCGGTCTTCAACAAAGGCCGGGACAAGGGCAAGGCCAAACGCGAGGACCAAGACGAGGGCCCCTCCACATAGAGGGGCAAAAAGAACAAGAAGGATCGGCGCCAACTGGCCAACTCCGCGTTGGTCGCCGTGACTGATCGCGCAGGCAAGCTGCTCCAACAGGGCCAGCCTGACCAGTTCGACAAGCTCATGGATAGCCCATGCACCAACCATGCTTACCCCGTCAAGCACCTCTACAAGGACTACGAGCTCCTCAAGCGCTTCCTGCGATAGGCCGACGGGCCAAAAGAAGGAAAGGGCAAGGAGGTAGCAGCCAAGAAAGGAGGCACGGCGGACAAGGATGGGGACGGCTTTCCCGACCCCGAGGAATGCATCATGATCTTCGGAGGATCCGATGCCGTCTACTCCAAGCGCCAGCACAAAGTGCGCTATATAGAGGCATGCGTCGCCGAGACGGCCGTCCCCACCTTCCTCCGCTGGTCGGAATCTCCGATCACCTTTGATCAGAGGGACTATCTTTCTCACGTCGTCAGCTCAGGTCGTAATTCTAAAGCCACACATTCCTCTGCCCTGTATCCATCTTTTTTCCTCTCCAGATTAGAATCACTAAGCAATTTATTCCAATGTTTCATTATCTGTCCTTTCCCCGGAGTAGTATTCCTTGATAGGCTAATATTTGCGGGTGAATATTTGCAGATAGTGGCATCCAATGTTGGATGCACATGGTCAAAAACTGCTTCATGCTTCAGGTTTGTGTGCTCTCATCCTGTATATACATTAACACATAGATATTACCATTACTATCCTTCTAAACCGAACTCTAGAGGCACACCTAACAAATAAACTGAGTGGCAATGCACTGCTCACTGCTCATTGCTGAGGGATGAATAGCACTTTTGGTTCACTGAAGGGTATCTAATATGGTCACATCTCATCTGAGTATCTGATCCCATCCTTTCCTTTGCATGCTTCGCATGTGCATAGCTGAAGTATCCTATCGTCCATCATGCTTTTCTTTGAAGTCATTCTTGTCTTCTTTGAAATTTCATAAATTGACAGCTTATCTTAGAAATGCATTGTCCCTGACCAAACAGAAGCAACAAGCAACTCAAAAAAGGGAGAAGGAAGCAACAGTCAAAGAGGGGCAAAAAAAGTGGCAAGTATCACTTTTGCCCATTATAATTTATGTTTGTACTTGTTAATCAGGCATTGATTTTTTTTCCCATTTGATTCATCAGGAAAAAGAAATGATCGGTGGTATATGGGTTTGATATGAAATTCCTTTATTTCACTTTCTTAGAACGCCAGGCTATGTAATAAACAATATAAGTAACTCTATATATGCTACCCCTTTTGGGTAAGTTATAAATCTTATTCTATGGCTTGATAATCAAAACACATAGACTTTTAGATGTTTTATTCACATTATCAAAAATCACATTTCATTTTATTTGTGCTGCTTTAAGTATGACTCAAAACAGTGTGTTACTAAGATCAGGTTTATTGTACTATCCGGTGATCTCAAAAAACTTTGTTTTAGAGTAGGTGGAATATACACCTGAAGCATACGTGTATAACCCATTGCAACATCCTGATCTACTTTTGCAAGATCCTTATGAAACACTTACAACATATCTCTAAAACATCTAAAACATTTGAAATGTACACTTACAACATCTATTGTATCTCGATGCGGCCTCCTCCACCGTCTGCATCGGGACGCCGCAGCTGTAGCAGGAGGCGAGGCCGGAGGGCTTCCGCGCCAGGGCCCGACGCTTCTCCTTGCGTAGCGGCCTTAGTGGCTAGCTGACGGCGAGCGGTCGCCACACGTGGGTGCGGCGGTGCGGGGGGAGTAGGCCGCAGAGCAGAAACAACGGGGTGGCGCGGTGGAGCAGGAGGAAGGAGCAGCGCGGGGTGATCGTCGACAGCGGAGCGGGCCATAGAGTAGGAGCAGCAGGGCGCCCGACGGAGTAGGAGCAAGCGGGGTCACCGTCGATGTGCGGAGCAGGTCTCTCGTCTCCTTCTTTCCTTATCAACCGGCGCAACGGAGGAGATGGACGTGGATACCGTAATAAAAAAAACAAGCAGATGCAGAGCAGAGGTTTATTGGGCTGGTACGCACGACGACGAAGGGGCGTCCGTACATTCATAGCATTTCCGAAAACAAAACTACAAACGCACGCTAGTGGAAAACGGCATCCTTTGAAAGCCTCTTATACTACTAAGAGTAAGAGGTGAAGCTGCAATATTTAGAGTGAAAGCCTCTTTCAAATTCGCAACGACCTTTTCAGCTTCCTACACATCCAGTATTTACATACAAGGTCAAAAGTTTGATAGTCGCCAAACAAAATAGTTCAAACGTTGCCCAAAAAAAAAATCAAAAATCCTTGACCTTTGAAACACTCGGTAACCATAGATTCCTTATAATAACTCAAAAACGTATTTGAAAAGCAGCTAGCAGCCTAGCACTATGGGTGATTCACAGTGCCTCCTGGCAAATTTAAATCGGTAACCATAGAAATTTTATTATGGTTGGAAAAAAAGAGAACCGTTAGTGAGGAGAGATCGAGTGGCTGGAAAATTAAAGAATTTGAAAAGCAGCTAGCACTATGGGTGATTCTCAGTACCTACTAGCAAAATTTAATTCAAAGATTTTTCAAAACATTTCTCATGGAGATGGAGCCCAGAAAACAGCCACAAACGAACAAATAACCTGAGAGAAAAACCAGAAAATTCAAACATATTAGCCTGAGATTCAAAGGATGAAAGGAAACAATAGTATGTCATCTCGTAGGATCTGACGATTACCCACGCTCAATTTGTATCATTTTGTCGAGTACATGTACATAGATGAAATGTTTCCTTGTAGTTATGAACATAACTTCAAGCATATCTTGACAGGATATGAATCAGGATAAATTTTGAAACTACCACTGTAGTGCCAATATTTACATGAAATTCTGAAGACACTGTCTGTTTACAAATAGATTACCTGACCAATTTAATAAAGTAATAAATACAATATTTTGAATCAAAGCTTCTAAGAGTAAGATCTATTGGAGTTGCAAGGATGGATTATCTTAAGACTACCCGTGAGTTGGGGACATGTGTGTTCAAGAATGAGCTTAGTTGGCTCCATAAGGAAATTTTGGTACCATAGAGCCGCACACTAACTGATTTCCTTGATCCTTCTCTGACGAACTCCAGTTCCCTGGATACACCATGCTCAGCATAGCTGGGTTCTTCTAGAAATGGCAGGTCGATCGAACCCTCAGACTCGAGGTTCTTCAACCACCCTCGGAGCAAGTAGTTTATAACCTGATGATCAGGAAATTATTACAGATCTCATAGATATAAGCTATTACCATGATCAACTAAATAATACTGGACCATTTTGCAAAACTGGGGTGAAGCTGTGGATTGAATTATTGAAGACAATGAGCTGCAGAGAGTTATGTTGTCGCTGCAAGTAGGGAGCTTCTTAGAGGCTACCCATTGTACACGGCTGCTACAGATGAATAAGAAGAGATCTTGTCTCTTTTAAGGCATTGTTATACTTGTTGAATCATGAATGTGCAACAGGACAAATAAGTACTACAACACATGAGGCCCATTGTACTGATATTTACTTACTTCATAAGAGTATATGCGCTTGAACGGTAGATCTAATGCATACTAGTACCTCCCATCATTAGTATAGGATACCATAAAACTCCTTTTACTTTTCCCCGTTTGCATTATAGCGGTAATTGCTATTTGAGTAGTGTAAAAGCAAAGCCTTTAACAGTTTGCAAGGAAAAAAAAAACAAACTTTCGCAATACTCTTCCAAGGTAATATTTACACTTGTTAATTTTCCATTTCTATTGTATAGACATATTTAAGATTCCAATTTCCAAACTTAGACACAAGTCATTAATAGCTGCGATATTTACAAAGTTTAAACCAACAGAGTCCTGTTGGGTAACATGTTAATCAATGAGTTTCTTCTAAACTTGTTACATTAGAAGAAAATTCTGAATCTTATTTTGCTTAGAACTGGTTAAGTAGAGCTCGGTGCTTTGAGTTTGGTGCAGCTGATAGTTTCAGGTTTTCGTATGCTAAAAACTGTAAAACTGGTATCCCCAGTATGTCGGATCTTTGGCCTTCGTTAAGCTTTCAATAAAGCCGGGTGAATGCCTTTGATCTAAAAAAAAATTCTGAATCTTAGTCAGATACACTATATACTAAGGGCCCGTTTGGATCCTTGGAATTGAATTCATTCTAATAATTACAATTTAGACATAGATTAATTAAGCTAATATAGTTGTATATGGAATATATTTGTATATTTATTGTTAGACATACAAGGGACATACTTATATGTTGCATTTCTATTGTAGTGAAGTGAGTTGAAGAGTATGCTATAAGTTGGAGAATAGAATTATAGCATAGTGATCTAAAGAATCCATTTCCATCTCCCACCCTATGAATTTGAGATAGGCTTATTTGTGAGCTTGAGAAAGTTATGGAATGTCAAATTCCAAGCAAAATAGCCTAATCCATTAAGTAGATTTCAATTTCTCCAAAATGAAGGGATCCAAACAGCCCCTAATAGAAATTCCTTGCAGTTTTCCATTTCCTATGTGCAATAGCATTATTGCTGTGCAATAACTCCAACAAGTTCTCTTAAAAGAGACAGTTTTACCCACTTGCAGAACTTATGCAGCTCATTTCCTAATCAATGGGTTAATACCATGAACCTTGTAGGAGGATTGCATTCGATATACATATACCCCTACAACATGCTGTCCAACAGAACAGCTAGTTTGTGTCATTTACTTTGATGAGGAGTTGAGGACCCCTGACTTTTATTGTTTGTTGACTTGCAGAGAAATATTTGTAAGACAAAAGTATTACCAAAACCCATTAAGAATTACCAATTGGAATATGGCATATTAAGGCCAAAAGGAGAGCTGAATTTTATAAACAAAGAGCAATCCTTACCTCAGGGACCTCATCGTGAGGACAATGACCGGCAGGACTAATTTCATAATAAGGTGCTTCGGGTACCTGCTGTTTGACTTTAATGCCCCAAAAAGGTCTAATCCAAGGATCTTCTCTTCCATACATGAGAGATAGAGGAACGCCTTGGCTTTGGCACCTACAAATGATGAGTGTTAAAATGGAAAATTGCATTTATCATGTAAAGTTTCACTTGATCATTTAGATTATCTAATTCACCTAGAGATTGCCTCTTGGAAGGATATCTGACCCCTTGGAGCAAACATAATGGAGGCAAATGATGCAGCAGCTGCTGGGTGTTGTGTTATCTCCACAATACGAGAGAACACTTTGTCCACATTTGTTGAGTGGTCAGCATATACTTGTTTGAGTATGTCTTGAATACTTTTTGGGTCACTTATCTTTTGCCAACTACATCACAGAGGAAATTACACTCCACTTAGTTTATAGACACACATTAGACATTTACTTTTGCACAAAAGTCTATTTCTAAAATTTCAATAATGCAACTATGCGAGAGAAATAAGTAAACTAAATCACTATGGTAATAATATTTTCACATGTAAAATCTACACATATAGTGTCTTATGAAATAAGTAAATATCATATAAAGTTAAAAGTGTTCAATATAGTGAAGTTAAAACATCAGAAACTATTAGTTCACCTCAGTGCGAAAATGTTCTCCATAACTAATAAACAACACTTACACAGCTTCAGTAAGTTTCCTCACAAATGATGGAAGAGGAAATGTCCCAGCCCATGGGAAAATCTTTGACAATCGGGGAGATGTAGCAGGGTTAGGAAAGAATCCCCAAAATGGTGTTGCATTAAGCAATGTGACACCTTTTACAAGGTGTGGACTGGATGCGGCAAAATACAGAGCAACGAAACCTCCAAGAGAGTTCCCCACAATATAAACTGGCTCACGGATAACCTGGAAATGAACTATAAACTTAGCTTACGAGATACGTTGTATAAATCTCATGGTGAAAATATATGATCATATGCATGGGTAAGCGTCTATAGCCATGTTTTAAAGGCGTCGCCTAGGCGTCCAGGCGTACCCAGCTCGCCTTGGGAAACAGTGGCGCCTTGTCGCCTAGGCGTCCAGGCGTACCAAGCACTCACCTGGACGCCTAGCCGCCTTTAAAACATGGGTCTATAGTTTCTCTGCAATACAAAGGCATAGATAGCTAAACCATCCATCTACGATGATGAGCATACACAAAAGTTAAACCTTCTGTATGCAATTTTGAACAGGACAAACAAATAAGACAATTACTCTATTCCTAGCAGCAAAATATGCAGAACTTATGTTGATCATCGGTGTTAGTTTCAAGCAGTTTGTCAACAAAAAAATGAAGGAATTCAAATAATGTTCCAATTTCAGACATTTATCAACAAAGAAAATAATAGTAAGAAGCCTACGAGGAGTTCCCAAGAGGCATGCTAAGATTTTTAAACTAAACATGGATGACATTTTAGCAAAACAAACATTGCAAGACACAATTACGAATTCAAGGAGATACCTCCTCAATGAAATGCTGAACTTGGTTTTGCCATAAATCCACAGAATACACCAGCTCCTCTGCCCAAGGCTGCGAATCTTGTCCAAACCCCCAAAACGCCTCTTCACTCGCGATGCTACTAGGAGCAGGGTCTTCACCTGGCAGCAACATCCCCTGCCCGAGAAAATCCATCGTCCACACCCTATGATCGCGACCAAGATCCCTCAGCTGCTTCTCGAAATGGAACGTCCCGACTCCGAACCCCGGCAGGAAGAGCACCGCAGGCGCCTTGCTGTTCTCCACGCCGGACCTCTCGTAGTACACAGTCAGCTTCGGCTTCCACTCCCAGAACCCAGTACTGATCGGGAGACCATCAGGGCCTTCCGGGAGGCCTTGAATCATCACCTTCTCAACCTCCTCCACCTTCCTGGAAGGAATGGCCTGCAGAGCTGCATCCACGTCGCTTACATGGAATCCCTGGGCTGCATGGACCTTGCCAGAACCGCCTGGATTCGAAGCTCCTCTTGTGGTTCCGACACACATAACCGCATATCTTCTGGGCCGGGAAGGCTTGGCATGCCCCAGACCAAGACCTAGAGCACTGCCCCGAAGCCTCCATGCACTTGCTGGTGTTTGATGTAATGCCGAGCAGGAGTGGCTGCATGAGACCACCTCCATGGTCGCTACGATGCTTGATGCCCACTAGTTCTGCAGAGAAATGGAGATAAACGACTTCACTGGACCGAACTGGAACCAACAATTCGACCGTTTTCCATATGACAATTTTTTTTGATCCAAAGAGCTAAATTCTGCCGTCTCATACATAGATATAAAGCAGGGGCGGCAGGACACGGGTGTACACATGTATACCCGTATTTTTTTGGGCCAAAAATCGAAGGTAGAAGGTGAAAAAACATGCTCAGATCTGAATATAGATAGCATAAATCAGAGTTTTTGGTGGTGGATTTCGCACGGCAGGAAGGGAAGGGAACGAGCGGGCATACCTGGCCGACCTGGCACCGGCGGCGGTGCTCACTACTCACCCTGTCGTCGCCGCTAGGAAAGAAGGGCCGAGAGAGTGAGGGAGTGGGGTGAAGTCGAGGATCGGAGACGAAGGAGAAGGAGAGTGCAACGCAGGACGCGCTCGCGCCGCCCCGGATGGACTGCTGCTTGCTTGGACCTTGGATGCGTGCACGCCATCCGCGTGGGGTGGAAGAGGGGAGTGGAGGAGAGGAGTTCGGTGTGCACGGATTGCTCTGGGTTTGTCCGTTTGCGGGTTGGAGAATCGTGGAAGTAACTCGAGACTACAGAGAAAAAGACCGCCCTGTAGCTTTTCCTGTTTTGCTTCTCAGTCACCGGGGGTGTCTAAAATTTAGTTCCGGATGTTTCGCACTAATTTAGATTTTTAAACGTAGTCTAATTATAAAACTAATTATATGGATCGAGATTAATTTATGAGATAAATCTATTAAGTCTAATTAGATTTATGTTTAGTTTTTTTAATTAGTATCTAAATACCCGATGTGACATGTACTAAACTTTAGTCCTGGATTCAAACACCCCCATTATATCAGCGGTTACAATGGTTTAAATTCATCTCAAACGAATATCCCATAACATTGTGATTCCTAAATAAATCATTATGGGAGCTTATAACTTTGGTTGAAATGAATCAAAATGCAGGAAAGTTCCCTCTACTTCTCAATTTACATGGAACGTAATCTCACTTTTCTAGAATAAAGTTCCGCTGATAGTTTCTGTGGTTGATAAGTCGGTTGATGCTGATTTGTTGTGAGAGAAAACATTGTATCATGACTAATAAGCTAGGCTGATAAATTCAAGCGAACACACCGCCAATCATCCAACTTTAGTGTATATCAAGATGTGCTCGCACACGTTACAGACATCGTTCGCATGGGCTAGACAGACTCGTTACCTATCAATCCCCTCCTCAAAATTCCCATTATTTACTCTACTTTGACGTGTATCACCATCTTCATAGTGATGTAACACCTCGGGTGTTAGCCTTGCATAATTTGACTTGCATAACATGAGCATGATCATCAAGCATTCATAAACAAGCATTTACCATTGAAACATTAGATTGAAACATCTGCAACGCTTGCTTGTTATCGCATGTTTCTTAAACATATGCAACTTTTCTCGTTATTTCATGTCTCCATGTATCTATGCATATGATCATGAGTGTACACATGTACTTGGTGGATGTGAGTCACACAAACATATAGCCACACCTAGGGTAGCAAATAGGACCCTGTTCATGGTTACATTTCATGAACCAACACTTAAGCTTTCTTGTGATTACACTAACTAGCTCAATGAGTGACTACTACATGAAATGATTGAATGGCCTTACAAATTGCTTAAACATGTTTAGAATATCTTTATGAACAACTTTGATATTCATGGTTAGGGGTAAAAAGGTCATTAAGCCATGCTTTGATGTGTATCATCATGTAAATGTGACATGTTTGACCAAGTTTGAACTAGGTGTTAGAGACCTTGCATGGAGGAGATCACTAAAGCAAAGTTGTAGTATTTGACATAAGGAACAACTTTTATTTTTGGGTCACTAACTAATTCAGCTCCTAATATGTGTGAAATTGGATCACAAAAATCAGTAAAATCAACATCTCATGACTTACGAAATTTTGCTAAGTCCTCGGATCAACGACGACCGACGACAAGTCGACCTTGATCATGATTTTACTCAGTTTATGTTGCGATTTAGCACGAGATCATTGAACAACATTTGGAGATGGTACTTAGTACTACGACTTTTGTTCCGAAAGAAATCAACAATCGCTTTGCATAGGGAGTTATTTCGATTGCAAAACTCGTCTCGAGCTCGGCATTTTGTTTACGAACGAATCGAATCGATGGATTCGATGGCCGACCGAATTCGAGACCGTGGCGCCAAGCGGCGGCCTTGCGGCCAGCTGTCGCGTGCCGCGCCCACCCGCCCGCCATGCCGCCGGCGCGTGCGCTTTAACTCGCCACGTTAACCGCATAACGCCCAAAGACCCATTTTTCATTTTTCCGGCCTCCTTCTTCGCTCGCGAGAGCCGCCTCGGCAGAAATGTATCGGCCGCCAGTAGCCATCGCGCGCCACTCGACCTCGCCATTTCTCCATCACCGCAATAGCTCCACCGCCACCCCAAAGAACCCACCGCCTCCTCTCGTGTCCGCTGGTAGCGCTTGGTAACAACGCGCAGGCGCTTAGCTCGCCGAGCTCGCCGCTAGCCCGTCTCTCCGTGGCCACGCCGCCACCGTCCCACCCCAGTGCCGCAATAGGGCGCTAGCTAGCTCCGCCCAGCACTCGATGATGATGCTCGGCGTAGCGTTTGATCGAGCCACCGTAGCCCCCACAGCGTACCGCCATTGTCCGGCTCCGCCGTGCCGCCATGAATGCCACCACCGTGCCTTAGCTCCGGCAATAGGCTCGGTAAAGTAGGTCACTAGGTCCGGGACATAGTGGGGGTCATGTCGTGAAGACGTCACCGCCGGTGGACTCGCCGTCGACGAGCTCCAGCCGCGCAGCGTCGAGCGGCACCGTTGTACTCTGTTTTGTCTCGCTGACCGGTGGGGTCAACTGACCAGTGGGTCCCGCGTGTCAGCGACTCCATGTTTTAAAGCTAGTTCATTTTGAATGCAGATTTCATATGTTTTGTAATTTTTGAATCTTCAGTTTGGTAGCTTCAAAAATTGTGCAATAAATTGTGTAGTGTTACTTAGGAAGTGTAATATTTAGGAAAAATATGTTTTTGACATTTACAGTAGAAATTTTTGAAGATTTAAATAGAGATTTGAAATGTACTTTTGAATGCATTCAAATTTGTTTATTTTATATCTAGAGTTCCTATGCTCCAAAAATTATGAAATTTTTGTGGTAAGCTAGTCTTAGCATATATGAGCTCTGGTAAAAATTTGAAGATGAGTGCATGTATAGATTTATAGTTATAGATTTTCTTTTTATAATTAGGAGATCTTTGTGTAAATTTTTATAAATTATTTAGGAATCCAATACACATGAAATTTGTTAGAGGTTATCCTAGTACCATAAGGATGCTAAGAAAAATAGGAAATCTGTTGCTTGACACTTTTCAATAAGGTTTTCTATTTATGCTATTTCAAGCCTTGCTGCCTTGTCCTTTTTGTATAGGATGTCCTACTTGGCAAAATAGCATGAAACTTTTACAATAGTCCTTTGATAGCATTAGTAAGGCACTGTAATTTTCTGAGAATTTATGATGCACATTTGGTATAGGTTTATTATTTAACCTAGGGGTTCAAATAAAATAATAAAGGCATTTAAATAAATAGTTTGGGTTTCACCATTATGTTTTCTTGGATGTATTTGGTATGCTTAAACTGTTGGTAGACTTTTGGTTGTAAAGATTTGAATACTTATATGAAGTAGAAGTATTGTTACTTTATAATACGAATTGGAATAGTTTCCGGACAGATTCTGGAGTTTGCTAAGTTGCATGATAGAGATGATGTTTGCTGTAAAAATGGTTAATAACAAAGTTGTAGATAATTTGATAAGCTTTCCAGAAAGTCTAGGATCACTGCATTTGGATTAGTGGAACTCCTGATATGAGTAAAACAAGTAGCTATTGTTTTGTGATATAGTAGATGTATCGTGGAAGTAGTAATTAAATAATCGAGAAGAGATATGCACCTACTCAATAAACATGATGCACTTGATAACATATATGCATTCGTAATACTTATGCCATATTCATGCATCTAGGATCGGAGGAAGAAATAACGCTGTTGGAATTCGAAGAAGCAGAGGAAGGGGACCAGCAGGAGAATCCGCAAGCCGCAGCTCCCAAAGGCGTGGAGCAGAATCCTGAGGAGCTTCCGGAGTGTCCTGATCACCGCCCTACTTCCTTTCTGTGAGGCAAGCCCCGGAGCATTCTAAGTCTCCCAGTATTTTACAAATGATTACTTAAGTACTTATGATTGATGCATTAGGTTATAAGAGTTGAATGGAACCACTTGATGCATATACATTCCTTGTCCAGCTATTACACCTTTAACCGGTATAGGTCTAGGATCGAATATATGCTTAGCCATGCTTAGACCGGTAGAAGTCGGGTGATTTCTGTCACACCGCGAGATATAAGTGGATCTACCGAGCACGGTTGGTTATAATTGCTATCGTGAAAAGAACCATGGTTAATGTAAATGGAGACCGGCGGGATGTCGATAGAGAAGCAACAAGACATGGAGGTCTTGGGTGTGAATCTATCCCGTCTGTGTCGATTAAGGACCGTCTCTTGTTGTTGGTGCTTGACAAGATTGAGCGCATGCCTCTCACTTAGCTGGACGGATAACTCGTTCCGACCATGGCTGGCCGAAAATAATTCAACTCGGCCGAGACCCGCTACATTGTGCGCTCCTTCCGAGGAACGATCGACTGAGCCCAAGGGCAAGCTAGGCTCGAACGTCCCGGCATCCGGTGTTCCAGATTATGCGGCGCTGATGCGGACCCACAAATGTGTACCGAGTTGTACCAAAGGTGACCTAAGGCTATCGTGGGTTTGGTAGACTGGTTTGTGTTAGGAATAAATTCCTAGTGGTTGAAATCGATTCAATCGCCGTCTCTCCTGGATAGTGAGAAACTTGGCTAGTCCCAACATCATAGTAAATCGTGTTATGGAACATGATGGTTCAAATAAATATGGAATTACAATACCTGCTATGGTTACTATTGTATGCTTTTAAATGGATATACCACATGTTTGGCACAAGATAGTTGTTAATCTAGAGATGGATAGTTATAAATAATTGATAAAGGAATCCTAATTGTATAATAAGTCAATTGCTTTTATGCAAATGTTGTCAAGCTATTTCCACTTATACCGCCTTGCTTAATCCTTGGAGTCATTTTATTTCCGGTTTATGGCGGGTAAGTCTAGTGAGTATCTTCTCGTACTCGTGGTTTTATTTCCCATGTTGCGATGATGGCACCTGTATCATGGTTATTGCAAGAGTTGCTTCTATCCCATTGTGGATGAGGAGTAAGCCTTGGGCGTGCTTCTTATTAATCCTTCTACATGCTTTTGTGGACCATGATCGTATCTTGGCATCAGCTAAACTATGTTGGAAACGTTACTTTCAAACTTAATTTGCTTCCGCTTTTATCTATCAAACTCGGTTTGTAATAACTTTTATTCGTACTCTGATGGAGAAATGTATCTGCGAACTTTATGTAATGTGTGGCATGTATGTTGAATCATGTACGATCTTGGTTGTTGTAAATCATTTATCGAGACCCGTCGTGGTACTCGACGGACTACCGGGTTTATATGGGTTCAAGTATGACAGTGCGACCGCTTGCGGGCTGCCATTGTACTTGTACTCTTATAAATTGATCGGTTCTGCGACAAGTGACACCCTCGATGATGATTGTTGTTCATCCTTTCAAGAGTCAAGAGAGCTCTCAGGCAATCATCGCTCCAAGTGCCATATTCCTCCTCGCTAATGTGTTTCGTCTTGAAGGTGAGTCAAGCCATGCAAGTCCATGTAGTGATGTTGCCTCACCTTTGAAAGCTCCAACCATGTCCTTTGCAAACAATCAAGTTGGGATCCAAGGTCTAGACATGAGCCCAAGCCCCAAAGGACTTGATAGGCACGGCTAAGGATGACGATAGACACGCTTGACATATAGCCTGTTCGCTTGTTGGTTTCAGCCAGCCCAAACCAGCCAGCCAACAGTATTTTCCTCTCATAAAAAACCAGCACCAGCCAGCCCAAGCCAGCACCAACACCAACCAGCGAACAGGCCCATAATAAGGTTTCCGTATGCGCTATGTGAGCGAGGAAGGTTTGGTGGTGTGGGCTTTAAAATCACATTTGGTATGGTTTTTGAGTTTCAAGAAGTGCGTCCATCTTATGCTTATGTAAAAAAGTTGGATCGGAATACTTCTGTTAAGTAGTAGAACTATAGAAGATCGGTGTTGGATAGAAAGGTAAGCCTTTTACATTTAGACTAGCAAGTGTTCAAGACAAGGAGCGTTAGGTGTAGGGTGAGTGTGCTCCCCTTTTCATCTAACCCTTAACCCTTGTTAGCTAAGAGTAGACGTAGACCAACTTTTTCTGATATATAAATTTTCTACCAACTCATATTTAAACTCTTTCTAATCCTAATGATAACACTTTTAACTGTCTTTGTGATCTACGAAAGTGACAATACAACAAGGGATCATAATTCTTCAAACTATATACGGAAATATTGTGGGTAGGACGTCCGTTTCTTCCAGCCACGCGTTTTTGGCCTCGACACCCGCCCGAATGGCCAACACTGCCATCCGCATGGACGCAACCATCTCGCGTTGCTCAAAATAAAAATCTCCGTCGCTTTCCTCTTGAATCGCCGTTGCGTCCGCATCCATTTACTCGAACCCACTCTCGAATCGTTGTCGTGCCCGCACCGCCACGGCGTGCTCCACCGCGACACACGCTGCCGACGGCTGAAACATGGCGGCGTGCTGCACCGCGCCCAAGCGCCGTCGCCTGCCTTCCTATCTCCCGACCGCCACTCACCACTCGTCGCCGAGTTCTTCGAGCGACGCAGTGTAGTCCACGACAACTGCTCCGGTGCGGCGTTCTTCACCATGCCCAGCCGCTTGCCTACCGCCATCCTCCCTCTCCACTGCACCCGAGCGCCGCTTGCTGGCTACCATAGTTCCCCACCAGGTAGGCCGTGGCCGCCGTCGATGCCGTGTTTCAAGTGTTTTCAGGTGTTTCATAAGTATGTTTTCAAGTGTTTCATCTGGATATTGTCTATGTTGCAATGGCTATATACGCATGTTGCAAGTATATGTTTCAAGTGTTTCAGTTGTTTTAGACGTATGTTTCAAGTGTTTTATCTGGACATTACAGAAGTATATGTGGATGTTGCATAACATGCATGCTTCAAAGCGTATGTTTCAAGAGTCTCAGGTGTTTCATAGGTATGTTGCAAGTGTTTTATCTGTATATTGCAAAAGTAGATCTGGATGTTGCATGCGTTTGCAATAGCTTTCAAGTGTTTTCAGGTGTTCTGCAATCAGACGTATGTTGCAAGTGTTTCAACTATTTCGGACATATGTTGCAAGTGTTTTATCTGGATATTGCAAAAGTAGATCTAGTATTGCACATGTTGCAATAGGACCAACTACCGCAGCGGGCTGCTGCACTTGCTGCGACGCCACCGAGTGGGTGCAGAATGTCCCTGCCTGCATGCACATGGAAAGCGTATGAGGCACGAGCGGTTTCCATATGTTGTACGGGTGGGCGGCGCGAGCCCCACGTGGGCGCACCAGGGTGCAAGCACCAGAAACGGGGTGCCAAACGTGTTCGGACGTCCGGGCGCTAGCCATTTCCAACTGTATATGCCCGCTGGAGGTCTAGCCGTACAATTTCTAAGCAAATACACATACGCTTTCTTTGTATGATGGCGTATTGGTGAAGTCGCCTCCGAGGAGACGACGTCATTAGGATAAGGGGACCTAGCCGCAAGCAAGAGCGCCCTATCCGCATCCGCATAAATCCCAGTCAAATTGAACAAGAGCGCCACTCCCCTCTGCTAATCCCTCCCGAAGCAAGCATGGCCATGGCGGCCGTGGGCGTCGGCGGCGCAGTGGCCTCCCTCCTCCCGCAGCGCCGCCGCCGCGGTGGCACCGTCACCTGGAGCGGCGCGGCGGCCTGCAGCGGGCGGCGGCGGGCATCCGTGGCGGTGCGCGCGTCGTACGAGGCCGGGGTGGGCGTGATGGCGACCAAGGTGGGGATGATGACCTACTTCGAGCCGGAGACGGGGAAGCCGGTGCCGGTGACCGTCGTCGGGTTCCGGGAGGGCGGCAACGTGGTGACGCAGGTGAAGACGGCCGCCACGGACGGGTACGACGCCGTCCAGGTCGGGTACCACGGCGTGCGCGAGGACAAGCTCACCCGCCCGGAGCTGGGCCACCTGGGCAAGGCCGGCGCCCCGCCGCTGAAGCACCTGCAGGAGTTCAGGCTCACCGCCGTCGACAGCTTCGAGCCCGGCCAGCCGCTCGACTTCGCCGACCTCTTCAAAGAGGGCGACCTCATCGACGTCTCCGGCAACACCATCGGCAAGGGCTTCCAAGGTACACCAATTCTCGCACCGTCCGTTACTGCATTTGCAATGCCAGCAACAGCAATTGTCCACATTTCTGCTAATTGTATCCACAATCCTCCGGCTTTATGTATCATTCCGTTTCTTGGAGAAAGAAGTTAGCGCATTTGCAATTCCATTTGCAGCCCTTGGCTTCGCTGCGCCGATTCCATTGATCTGTCTTGCTCGCCAGCACTGTAATGAGCTGAGAACTGTTTGCCTGGCAGTTCTTGTCAAACCTTGGCTGTAGGTGTAGTTTCAAGGGTTTGCATTTGCAATTGCAATGCCACTTGTGCAATCCCCTGTCCTGCAATGTTCTTGATCCGTTCCCGGGCGGTTGCTTGGGACATTGATCGGCAGGTGGCATCAAGAGGCACAACTTCAAGCGCGGGCTGATGACGCACGGTTCTAAGAGCCACAGGCAGCTGGGTTCCATCGGAGCCGGGACGACGCCGGGGCGCGTGTACAAGGGGAAGAAGATGCCCGGGAGGATGGGAGGGACCAAGACCAAGATCAGGAAGCTCAAGATCGTCAAGATCGACAACGACCTCCGGGTGCTCATGATCAAGGGCGCCGTACCAGGGAAGCCCGGGAACCTCCTCCGCATCACGCCGGCCAAGATCGTCGGCAAGAACATCCCCAAGAACTAGACTTCTTTTTTTTTGAGGGGGTGAACGTTGAGTGTTTCCTACCCTGCTGCAAACTGGATGTAATTCTTTGCCAATCGCCAGTTTTTGTACACATGCAACTTCAGATTAGTAAAACTGATCTTCAGATGACTGTTATTCTTTTGCAAACTTCAGTTTTAGTACGGGCCACCATGATGCTTGGGTGGGCGATAAACTTGCAAGCGGATTAGAGTATGACCGTAGATCATTCAAATAGTTAATTAATGTGATAGTAGATCATGCAAATATGTAATGATCTGAAGGCAGGAAATGCAACCAAAACGGAACCATGAAATGCGACAAACAAGAAATACTGCAGATATAACCTTGTGCAACAGGGGCAAAAAGGAGAACTTTGACGTAATCGTAAAGCTTCCACCATAGCTAATCATAACTCAACTGAACAAATACATTTGCTACCACATTACCCTCAGAGAAGATACAAAGATGGATTTTTTGGGGCATCCTTCAATACGGATTATTTGATCTAATAAGCTTTCGAAGAAGCCATCCATGCTTCTACTCTAAGAGCACAAAACCTAACACAGAAGAAGCAGTTGCCACCAAATCAGCGAGTTCCACGATCACAATTGTAGATATTTTTCTGCCCAAAATAGTATGTACAAATGGATCACCGCTCAACCTGCACATAAAGAACAAACGACCAAACAAGTTAGGAACAGTAGGGAAACTTCTATGACCTGCCACAACCTCAACCAAATCGAAGCCAAGCTCAGGAAAATAAACAAGCAAATTGAAGCAAACAACATCTACTTCCTTGTAATTGCAAAAACTATGAAGTTGTTTACGAAATTACCATGTGCAGTGCCATCAAAGGTTTATTAATCACTTCCAAAATCTTCAAAATGAACACCCTCAGATATTGTATCTAGCCGCCTATTTCCTATTTCTGTTGATAACAAGGAAACCATTAGATAAATTGAGCATTTCAGTACTGCATCAAGAGCAATGTCGAGGGAAGGGCAATGGTTAACCTGTATGTTCTCCAGTGGTAGACTCTGGGAAGTTATTTGCATCGGAAGGGATGAAAGGGGATCGACCATAGTTCTCTAATATTTCTGCACATGAAAGACAGAAGATGCTTTATGTATGCAATATAAATATATAAAGTAGCAGCAATGTTGAAAGGAAAAAACCAAAAATATATAGATCAGCAATATTGCATAGAAGTACCTGTGCTGTGGCTGAAATCCTCTGTCAAATCCGAAAAGCTGAAGTTACGAGGAATCTGGCTCAAGAAACCATACGAAGATGAATCCATGTCCAAAATTGGATCGCCTAGCGGTTGTCCATTCAACTCAGAGCTGCTAAAGGATCCACCTGATATATCTCCAACTGACTGCTCTAGGAACACGTTCTCATTGCCGAATCCAAAATCTGAGTTGCTCGAGTAGCCAGACTCTGTCTTTATTGTTGTTCCATTGTGTCCATTAAACTGCCCAACAGTCGAATTATGTGCTGCTAGAAGGCTTGATGAAGCATCCATGCCACCAGGAAGGCCATGAACAACTTTACCAGCATAGATAAATTGGTCATTGGATGGAGCACCATTTACTATACTACTAGAACCTCGATTATGCAACAAGTTATCTTGCATTGCAGTACTGGGGATAGTGTCTGGCAGAAAGGGCACGTTTTGGTTCACTGAGACAGGCAACAATGGACAATATTAGAACTTATTCCTTCCATGGTTACATTTTAGCTGAAAGAGATTATTGTAACTTTGTCAGTTAGTACAGATGTATAGCTGCTGAAGAAAAGAAGCTTACATGTGTTAGAGTTTGAGCCATTAGGAGCAGTAGGAGGCATAGAAGGCATCCCAGAAGGATGATCTTTAGTCATAATCTGATACTGCTGCTCAAGGAGCTTATTGAAGGCCACTATTTGATTCATAAGCATCAGCCTCACATAGTATGCCTTAAAAAAATCACGATTCTCTTCCTCGAGTTTCTGCCAGACTGGAGAAAAAGAATGACAGTCAAGTAAATAAACCCAAACGGCCAAACCAAAGAGACCATCTAGTTATTATCTTATAATGACGGGACGAAATTCATGTCTTTGAAAAGTTCCACCAATCAGAAAGGCATTCACACCATCCCATTTCCAAACAAAAAAAGTTAGAGCACAGTGCAAAGCCACACGTTGATGAATTGATTATAGAACAGAAATTGGCTGAGTGGTGGTCTCAATTTTGCTGATGCTGAGTCATTGATTCTAGGTCCATGACAGAGGACATACAAAATCATCATTTTGTTTCTGGTTTATAGATCATGCATAATTGCCCAAGAAAGACTGGGGGTGATAAATTGATGGTCTAATAAAAATGGGAAAACAATGCATTCTGAGATTTCATCAACAAAAAATAAAAATATATGAACTAAGCAAGTTAAGTTTTGTCCCAATAAACAGTATTATTTAGGACAAAAAAGGGTTTCCTGTGTGACATCATCATGGCAATCAAGATTTAACAAAAAAACATATACACCACTCTAATGCAATAAACCATTGTTCCTCCAATTTCAAGGGAAGTTTATGCTAAGTGAATTTACAATAGCAGAGCTCACAGTGTTGTGATCAGGATGTGTTATCATTTAAAAAATCGAAATCTTGTATCAACTTGTGAAATAAGCTAAGTGCTGATTGAACAGGGAAGTCACTTATGGTAATAGAAGAGAATTACCAAGCTCAGTGAAACTAGGTTCTATTTTTGCCTGGAAAGATAGGGTGTCCACCACTTCTTTCTGGTTCATATATAGCTGAAGGCAACGTTCAATGAGATTCTGGACCTGTAAAACAGTTTTTCCATGAGGCCTTATTGCTTTAAGTACACACTGCAAAAGAAAACTAGCACAAAATCCTACCATAACGAACAAACAATTCAATCAAAGATGAGAGAACAAAAAACATATACAGTGGGCTTTGTTGATTGTGCACAGAATGTGATAAACGGATGCAGGCACATTTCAGGAACCATAAGGCAGATATCTGTATGTGATAATGCTAGAGGCAAAATGAGAGTGAAAGCAGAAGTTAGACATAGGACACTGACAACGAGTCAACTTGGTCAACAGGATTGTGCAGTCACAGCTACATGTTCCCCCACCAGAAATTAATTTCTTACTCCCTCTGTCCTATTATATAGTGCATTCAATTTTAAGACAAATTAAGAGAGAACATAAAAGACGCATATACCCTCATTTTATTTTCTAATCAGACGCTATCATCAACATGATTAATGGTGATTGGTTGATAAATGGAAAGTATTTAATATAAAATTAGTTTTTGTCTTCTAGAATGTATTATATTTGAGGACAAATTTTGAATGCTAAAATGCACTGTATTACGGGACAAAGGGAGTAAGTGAAAACTGAAAGTTCAACTGAAAGATCCGACATCCAAAAAAGGCAAACGGGCATGTGAAAACAGGACAACTACAGTGAAAATTCAGTAGATGACATAACTTCATCGAACTTCCAAGTAGGCATTCTGCTTTTGCATAAGACAACACAGAAGCGCACAGTTTCTCCTTTAACACACATCATTATTACAGATACCAAACAGTAGCAGCATCCATAAATTCCCCACTCATTTCTTACCCATGCAAGCCCCTTTCCCCTTCATCCACCTTTGCCTCTTCCTCCCCCTGTTTCTGTCCCATACAAATACACCCCCCCTGCTCATGCTCTGATGCTCCTCCCCTCCGGCTCCGTGTTTATGAATCATGACCAGACAGGACTGGGACAGCACTAGCACATGACCTAGTATGCAATCAGAGCCCAAACGAGGGCATGCAACTGTTGCAACAACACAACCATCTGTAACCCTAATCGAGCCCATTTACTTCTCATCAAGCCTATCAGGTAACCAAATATACATATAGCAAAAAAAACCCCGGAAAGCACGTACTAAAAAACAAGATGGAAGAGGAGGGCGGGAGGGATCACGGGGGGCGCTCACAAGCTGTATGTCCTGGCGCGAGACCTTGCGGACGTCCTCCCCTCCCGGCATGCCTGACGCCCGTCTCCTTCGTGTTCTGCCCGGCTGCCCTAATCAAATCTCCCTGCGAGCGACGCCAAGCCAAGGTTATCAAAAGAACAAAGTAAAAAAACAAAACGGCACAGCCGCGGACGGCGATTGACCCCAACGGGATAACCAACGACGAAACGGAGCAGCAGGAATCGTTCGATCCAGCTGGCACGGGCGGGCGCGGGGAATCTCTCACCTTGAGGCTTGAGCCGAGGGAAAGGGGAAGCGGAAGCGGAAGCGGAAGCGGAGCGGAACACGAGAGAGAGGAAGGGCCCGCGCGTTGCGCGCGCGAGTTTGACGGGGTCTCTCTGATGAGGGCTGAGGCGGCGGGGAGGAGGAAGGCGACGGCTCCGGCGATCAGGTGGGGGCGCCGCGCAGTGTGGCGAAGCAAGGGCCAAAAGGGGAAGGAAGCAAATGGGGGAAACAGCCAAGTTGTCGTTGGTGGGATGCCAATCCGTCGGCTTATCTAGGTGTTATCCGGTTTAACAAAACGGGGAAGTGGAGGCCTAGTGGGACGGGACGGGACGGACACCAGATTCCGTGCTCGTCTCCTGTCTCCTCTCCTCTCTATCTCTTCACCTCAGTTGACAGCTCGGACATCCGATCTCTTTCACCTCCGTTTTCAGTGTACTCCCTCTGTTTTCAGTGTACTCTCTCCGTTCTAAAATATGATCCTTTAATTATGGATCTTTCGCTTACTAAGAAACAACTTTGATCAAATATATATAAAATTATTAATATTTATGGTACAAAATTATCGGTGTTTTCGGATCACCGACGAGTAAATTTGTATTTGCGCGTCTCGCTCGGATGGTGTGTTCGGAGGACACAAGTGTTTATACTGGTTCAGGCGGAACGTCCCTACGTCCAGTTTGTTGTTGCTTGTATTACCGGCACTTGTTTGCAGTAGGGGTTACAAACAGGCGAGAGAGGGA